CCTGACTCGTGGCTTTAAGGAGGCCACTCTTCGGTTGACGTTGGCAACAGTCACTGATAGTGATGGTGCATATACTGATGGTGGAAGCGCATGTGCTTGAAGTAGAGTGGGCTCAAAAAGAAGTTCATTACACGCACGAACTTTTGAGACAATCTAATATACATATTAAATTTCGTTCTGTCATGGTTTTACTTTCTCCGATGAAATCACCTTGGATAGAGCCGAAATTATAGTCGGCACTTAATTTTTGACACACTTTGAATTTTTTTGATTTAATTACTGATTTTATTTCTCTGATGTAATTATTCAATATAGTATACATCATTATTATTACCAGATTGGTCCCCCGTCAACCGCCGGGACCTTCCTTTCCTGCGCAAGCTTTACGTCTTCCGCTGTGGTCCCTTCCCACCTGTGACACCAACACCTCGTGGAGGTGACGCGCATGCAGCAAAAAGGAGTTCATATAGTAGAGGGAATCGCCATAACCAGTCGTGACGGTGGACTTTCCGTCTCTCCTTCCCCGCCTCCCCCCCCTTATACCCCTCTCTCCGGCGCATGGCAGCGCCATGTTCTCCTCCCTTTCTCCTCTCCCCCTTCCCCCTCCTTTCTTCTCTCCTCTCTCTCCCCCTCCCTTCCAGCCTCCCTTTCTTCCCCCTCCCCTCTACCCCCCCCCGTCCGGCTGCCACGGCAGCACCATGTAGAATGAGACTGAGTGTGCTCGATCGGTGTTTATATAGCCGCTGTGGGTGTTATCATGATCATGAAGTGATGAACATATCGCCAACGCTAGGGTAGATGTGCAATGTCAGCCTCGAGAATTTCATAGAGATTTCATCGAAGGAAACTTAATGTCGATTTTGATATCATAGGTGATTAAGAGTAAGATTTCTTCTCCAGAAGGTGAACTAGAGAGGAGAGCGGATGGTCGTTCGTTGGCACAAGGTTAGTGCTACAAGGCGGAGCTAAAAGAACTGACCGCCCGAGAGTCTCCAATTTTTTATGAATTTTCTTAGCAAGGTGGACTCGAACGACCTCAGAAAAAATTTTTGTCTTACTTTGCTTTCAAGTTGAAGGCGTTGCCATCAAGCTGTCGACGATTTCTCACTGACAGTGGTATTAGTTGATGCCGGTTCCCAGCGCACCCTCACGTATTCCGCCAACGACTCAGGAAGTAGAATTCAGAGGGAGTTGGGTTTTGCTGTCAGAACTCCCGAATCGTTTAAGCTAAGCTACTGCGGCTTGTGGATTTGTTAGCACTGCACCCAGTCCACATCACCAATGAGTATGATGGATGGTCATTCGAAGGAACTATGGGAAACCAACAGGAACATGATGATGTCAGATTGGGTTTAGAGCTGATTCGGGCTCAGAGCATGTGAGAGACAAACTCCATTTTTGAAACCTTAGCGACTTTATCGAGATGTCTCAGTATTATCGCCTTGTCACACCAAGGGCGGTCTG